TGGAACTTGGTTATAAATACAACCTTCCTATGTCTATTGAAATAATGCATTAAAGAAACAAGTAAAGAAAAACTTTAAAAAAAGAAGTAAATGTAGGGATGGCTAATACCAATCCTTCAAAAACAATGCAAACAAGATAGTAGGGATGATCTTAGTAACATAATTTGCCAAGTAGTACAATCTGCCTATAGAACTTTAGTAACATAATCTACCTAGTAACACCATTTGTCTTTCTAAAGCGCATGTAGTACTGTTGAATATAAAAATGAAATATATAAACATGTGTTGAGACGAGTTTAAATCTTTATGCCGTCCTACAGAAGTATGGTAATACCATCCACCTATAGATACACCATCTGTCCTTCTAAAACAATGTAACAATAAAAACTATAAAAATAAATTGAGAGAAGTTGAAATTTATGTGTAATCTTATGAAAGAATAGTGACACTGTCCACGTATAAAAACTCCATCTGCCTTTGTAAGGCACAAACAATAGGCCTAGTAAGACCATCTACCTATAGAAGCATTATATTTAGTAAGACCATCAACCTAGTAACACCATCTGTCTATAGAACCTTAATAACACCATCCGCCCATAAAACCTTGGTAACAGCATCCTAGATTCAACATTTTGCTTATAAAATGAAACTGTAATTGTGATAAAAACTTTTCAGTACTGATAATTCTAAACACAATGTTATAAAAATTAGATAAATTATTAATGTTAAGACTTTGATCGTTACTATAAAATCGATGACATGTTGAGAGGCATTGGTTTACAACACCCTCTAGTGATTAGCCCAAAAATTATCTGCACACTCATCATACTAACACGCCCTGTGGTGTCATTTCGTGGAAATATGATGTCACCCCGTCCTAAGGCAGCCGCGCCATCTGATGCCATTTCTTGGACGTCATCGCCCTCTGGTGCCTATTACGTAGCAGTTATGTAACCCTCAGGCGTCAGCATAATTTGTATATTACGAAACAGTTATGTAACCCTCGGGTGTCGGCATAACTTGCATGTTATGTAGCAGTTATGTAACACTCAGTTGACATCCTTTGTCTATAATCTAACATTTGCATAACCCCATACTGTTGCATCCTTTGAGTACAGGGGTATCCCTCTAATTATTTATATAAAAGAAAAGCCAGATACACTCTAACAACAGTAGATATTTTAAAAAAATGCCATTATAATTTCACAAAATATTAAAATAGTGATAATATAATTATGCATAGAAAAACTAAATATTTTTAGAATATAAGCTCAATGCATTACAAATCACCTCAAAATATGCATAATTTGGCTAAATATAAAAATAAAAGATGATAATAACGGTTAAATACAATGGCTAAAACTAAAAAGTACTGCTACATACCTTTATAATACAATTAAATAAGAAATATAAAATATATATATAGAATTTACAACACACATTTACGAAATTCTCACTTGGAAAGATACCATAACTTCTTTTGATGGTGAAACTTCAGTGTGGGCACTTGTTGCAACTATTCTGACTTTGATGAACCTGAGGTCAAGTGTCCACATCTTCTTCATCGATCAAGTGAGAGGGAGGTTGACCATTATCTGGGCAGTTTTGGTGGTGTCCTTAGCCAAGCTTACATCTCCTTTGCTGGTAGTCCATCAAATAAAAGAAAATGCTTCAGGAATACTCGGCAACAGTGGGGGGAAACCTCTGGCTATTTTAAGTACAAGCTGGCCTAAAGCATCCAGAATTCGATCCTTCAAACAAAAGTCCAGATTCCAATGCAAGGATGGGTGAATTGCAATGGGTCAAAAGTTCAGTTGAATGTGGGAGTTAAAAGAGGTCATAATGCACAGTGATAACCACAAATTATTCCTAATCTACTGGTTAAACAACACATCTACAGGCTTTTCTGCACTCATACATTGCATTGCCCATAGAGTGTGTACCCCAAGATCCTCAGACTTCCCAATCCACAGGTTTCAAGTAGTCTCTACCTGGCCAACTACTTGTGGCTGTGCTGCCCTATGTTGTTCTCGTCACAAAACTGGAGACATTCCTTCTTCTTCAACTCGACCTCATTCTTTTTCCTACAATATGGTTGATATATAAACAGTGCCTGGTTTCAGTATGAAGGTAGGGGTCGAGACTCAATCAAGGTCCTACACATAAGAGCTAGTTCAAGTGACCTAGCACTAATAATTACTTTCAATCATTAGCTTTCACTGATGCTTTTATTGTTTCTGTCCTTAAGGAATTTTTCCATTTACAAGTCATGTACTAGTTTTTCTCATAAATTGTAAAGTTTCCATCATATGATTGCTACTTTCTGCCTTACCCTAGTACACTTACAGCCTGCATTTTCAAGCCTTAATACTGTTACGCTAGCGGAAGTCACGTAACGCTGGTAACACGTGATGAATTTCTCGAATGATAATGAATTATCGAGTTTGTTCGAGACGCCTTCTTTTTTAATATATAAGCCTGGCAGAGAAAGCTTGCGGAAATGAATGTATGATAAAGCGAACAGTAGTCACGGTAAGTTTCGGGCGAAGTTATCGAGATTGTGAATCACTATGGTTTATAGCGTGTATTATAAATGTTGTTAAGTTTAAAGTGACGAGAAACATACTGACAGTGAAAATACTGTATACTAAAGTTTGTATCGAGAAATAATAAACTAGTTTAATCAAGAAAGGACTTGTATCACTGAAGTTCCTCGGGAAAGAAATTCTACCGAAAATTAAAAAAACAAGCAGATACGTAACAATACTGTATCTTGTAATGAAACAATGTTAAGAAGATATTCAGTAAAACTGTTTGCTTATCAAAAATGTTTTAAATCTGCATGACTGAAAATCTCCTTATCACAACCATAGTATGAGCATCTTTCTTACTTTTATATTTTTCATGAAAACTCACTATCTGCTAAATATTTTAACATCAAAATTGAAATAGTCTTTTCCTAATATTAATGAAAGTAACTAGTACACTTCATTTCCAAAAATACTTTCCAAGCAGTTATCACAAATAGTCTCGTATTCATCAATTCTTAAAGGCAAGATCAATTCCTTTGTTATCATGCCCTTGATATTTATTGTTTTGTTCTTTGTGTAACTGATTCATTTGTATTATAAATACCCACGAACAAACCTATATAATGTTCATATGTGGACAATTTATCACACTCATGTATTTATTTATATACATATATTATTCTATACATATACTGCCTTTATTCTTATCAATCACTCTAGTAGTTTATGACATATCACTTCTAACTACCACATGAACCATTGTAGTAATGCTTGGGTTACCTTCTGAAGGTACAATTTTTAGTGATGGTAGTATCATTTGGGATCTGCCAAACTATATGTATTTTGACTTTTAGGCTTCACAAAATACTCAGTGGCAAAATTAGACCTCCTTATCTACAAGTGTAATTAACCAGAGTTAAAGTTCATGCTTTTAATACTGTAACTCAATATACAATCAGAGGACACACATCTTGCATCTTTTAGGTATGATGTATTTACCAGATAAATAAACAATTCCTGCAGTATACCAAGTTGTAAACACAAAAATGTAGTTTACATTACACTCTGAAAAAACACCTGATAACTAGGAAAGTAAGGGTCACAAGACCCTTTCTACTGAGTTTTTTAACTCCTACTGAGCATCTTCATTTACACAAACTGTTGACATACTAGGTGTTATGTCTATTCAATTCAGCTGTCTTAGTTTCTGTTGACATAATTCACTCGGCCAGCGAAAGGACGCAGTCACATTTTCGCATACAAAGAGAATGTTATCCAATTTGATACTATATAGACACAAAGGCAACTGGGTGTATAAGTACTTACACTTATAATCAGGTGGAACAGAAAAATTGTATAATTTAAATAAAGATAGCCTGAAGAATCTTAGATTACAATTTAGAATTGTTCATTTGGTTTTTCTTTGATTAATAATTAATTTTTGAATGAATTTCAAGTAAGGATTTTGAAATTCTTTATGGAAAAAGGATGATTATTATTTTCCTTTTGCATATGTATTAACGAAGCTGGAGGGTTTAGGTTTTGACCAGTTTTGCTGCCACTGCTGGATAAACCCATATGTTCCTAGATTCGTATATGTAATAGGGTCTTATTTTGATAATTTAGATTGCTTTATAGTTACTACAAGTTCCTTTGTATCTAACCTATGAATATACAAAGGTAGCTAGAAGATCTTTGGTTCTAAGCACATTCTGAATAGACAACTTTCATTTAATGCGGCGGTCAAGTTTTTAATTCGGAAGATAGCGCGTAATTCACAAGATTTGGCCAAACTGGAAGCTGAGTTGCTCCACATTTGCTTCAATAAATTATTAAGTTACGTTCAGTATTTTCAACATTTTCCGTAAAACTTGCTGAAAAGTGAGCGATATAGTTTGTTTGGTTGTAGTTAAGCGCAAAGCTATACAATGAGCTGTCTGTGCTCTGCCCACGACGAGTATCGAAACTCGGTTTCTGGCAGTATATGTCCGCAGACATACCGCTGGGGGGCGAGCGATACAGTACTAAATTGTGGTTTTTGCTCTCGGTTTTGAAATAGGAAAGAAATTTAAGCAAATTAAAGAAAGAATACTGCTTATAGGTCACTAAAAGCATACAAATACTTTGAGGAAGGCTGTGTGCAAATACTAGGCAGAGGAATGACAAGTAGTAACTATCGGAACTGTTTTATTCAGGCGGAGGTGATGGCATCCATGTCACAACGAACATACGAGAAATGTGTTTGCCTTTACTCCAATAGAAATATGATGGGTGAAGTATGTGAATATGTTGCGGTGTAAGTAGCCTAGGAATTACACCACTTTTGTTTCATATTGCGATCATTGTGCATGCTTCGTATTATTAATGAAAACTTTTTGCCCAAGATATCTTATAAATAATCCCCAAGAGTTGCCACCAGTGTAGAACTAGACCTGCCTCTGGTAAGGTTTTTTTCATGTGTTATTGAAATAATTATGTAATTTGTTTCGTTATGAATTATTCAGGCCTCAAGTCATGAATTCATGAGCTTATATATCTTACAGAAAATCAGCATTATTCATTGTATTACTTGTCTAAGCATTTGAAAAACATCATGTTTTATAAATATGATAATCGTGGTCAGTACTACACGGTGTTCCATGCTGGAAAAAATTATTTAGAACTTTAAACATAGATGGTACTATCAATGTAAATAAGGTGTATTTAGCTATAAATAATACTTGAACATCCAATTAATTTAAAAGATAAAAAAAAACTTTATCCAGGTACAAATATTACAAAAATATATAAAATTGATATAATGGTTGAGAATAACTGGAGTTGACAATGTCAGTTTTCAGATGTTATCCGAGCGTATAATTCTTAAGATGTTATATAATGTATAAACAATCAAACAGTTATATAATAATATGCTGCA